GTACAGTATCATTTGATCACTGACAGAGAGAGTGGTAAGGCTGAGCAGCAAAAGGTTTTTCTGACCAGATTATACAGATCGTGTCATCAACCTGCAGGCTGCCCACTTCCAGAATCTATGAGAACATTTTGAAGGCATTATTCAGGTACAGGAAAATGGTGAAGAAGAGATTGGATTTATACCCCGCCCTTCACTTACCCGAAGGAGTCTCAGAGTGGCTTACAATCCCTTTCCCTCCCCACAAGAGACGCCCTGTGAGGTAGGTAGGGCTGAGAGAGCTCTCTCGAGAATTGCCCTTGAGAGAACAGTTCTGAAATAATTTATGACTGACCCAAGGTCACACCAGCAGCAACATGTGAAGGGGTGGGGAATCAAACCCGGTTTCCCCAGATTAGAGGCCATGCTCCTAACCACTAAACCAAACATCTCAACTACATACCCTCAGTCTTCACAGTTTCTGTTTTTTCCTCTGAGTTGCTTTTGCTCAAGGTCTGAAGGAGAGCACTTCCTGCCAGCAGAGGTAGCATGATCTGTAATGGTCACTCCTAGGAGAAGTTTTTCCGCATTTTCCAGACATCTGACAGTCAAATGGTTCTTGGAAGGGGCAGCGCTGATTCATTTGCTGACAGTAACAGAGATCTGCTTACCTTCCTTTCTGTTCCAAATCTTCCCACCTCATGAGAAGAACTGGCACATCCTGAAACTTTTTAGGGCTCCTCATATCTGTCTACATCAGTAGAACTGAACATCATTCAGCAATGAAAGGTAAGAAAGGTTTTCAAGTTCCTCTAGCCAAGAGGGCATCATCTTGTCTTATTAAATTAAGCAAATTATTACCGAAGGGATTACAGCTCAGTGAACTAGTACTGCCTGTGCATCAGTGGCTTTTGACACCAGTGTGTCATCTGCAAGGCAGCCATGTGAGCCTCAACGTCTTATCATGCTCTACATGGTGAACTCTGTTTGATGGCCTGGGTGGTTTGGCTGGAGAGTTCTACAAGAAGCCATTTCATGTGGACTTTTTCTCAGGTTGGCCTCTAGTGATTCTGTCCAGTTATATATCAGTGGCCAAGCTGAGAGATGAACCTGGTGATAAACTCCTGTAAACAGTGTAATGAGATAGAGAAACTTCTACCTTAGTAAGTTCAGTCAGGCACTCTCTGTCCCTGACATTAGCGATATGTATATAGAATTAGTTGCTCATCTTCCTTTGGCTTAAAACACTTGAATTTGTTTGTAAAGGATGAGGAGGCACTTAATTGAGGACCCTGTATTTACTGCACCTGTCATTGAAGTGTTCTGTCAGGGTTCCCTGTCCCCTACAGAAGGCTTCAAAGCTAACTTGGGATTGATCACATGTCTGGCTAAGGCACTTTCAAGGAGCCACTGATACACTGAAGGTCACAGACGTTGTTCATAAACTCGTACAGGCAAATCTGCCTCTATCTGCCATCCTTCCCATGCTCCCGGTCCATTTAGAAACTCTCAAGGAAGCATGGGAGCAGCCAAATTCCTCTTCATCCATCCAACACTGAACTCCATGACCATTCATTCACCCACCAAATCCAAACAAGCCAGACAACTTACTTCTCCAGATCATGAGGTTCAGAAGGTGGATTCTTCAGCCAGGAAAGTTTATTCACTGTCCTCTGTGGTGGCCAGAATTCACAGTTATCTCTCCCATATGGCTGCACCTACAGTTATGATTTGGTTACTGCAGTAAATCCCTCCTGGCTGATCTGCCTGATGCGTCTAGACCGACTTTTTTGGTGGCATTATCTGAGATACTTGTAGTTTCTAAATAACAAATATACTCCATTAAATATGCAGTCTCTTGTTCATCAAAATCTTTGGCTCCATCCATTGCACTGTGCTGGCATGCCTGGCTCCGATCCACTTCACTCCAAGCTGATGTTAAACTGAAAATAGAGGATCTGCTGTTTGACGGGGATGGCCTCTTCAGTGCTTCCACAGCTGACACCTTAAAGGCTGTAGATGTTAGCAGGAAGAAAGCCAGGAATTTGGGTGTCTCTCAACCGACTGTTAATGCCCCAAGTCTAGGCAGGGGAAACAACCTTCTCCCAAGTGACATCACTCTCCTCCAGTGTGTGACACATGGAGATGGAATCCTTTCCCACCTAAACAGAGTTACGAGCCTAAATCCAAGACTCCGTCAATTAAGTGGTCACAGCCATCCATGTAGCCTCTTTGATTTCCCTGTTTTGCTGACGCCTCCCCTTCCTGCCTTCACCACCCCACTCGTGGGCACCAGGCTCCATCCTTCTCTGACAACCTGGGAATCCATCATGACAGAAAGCTGGGTCCCTACCATCATGTAGGTGGGGTACACCATAGAGTTCAATTAGCCTCTCATTCTTCCCCACTTTGTGGCCAGCCCCCTTCTGGAAGAAGTAGCCACCCTCCTCTGCAAAGGGGCTGTCAAACCAGTTTCTCATGCCACAAGGACTCTTGGCTTCTACTCATAGAGCCAGTTTGCTGTAGTGGTTAAGTGTGCGGACTCTAATATGGGAGAACCGGGTTTGATTCCCCACTCCTCCATTTGCACCTGCTGGATGACCTTGGGTAAGGCGTGGTTCTGATAAGAGCAGTTCTCGAAAAAGAGCAGTTTCTGTCAAGAGCTCTCTGAGCCCCACTTACCTCACAGGGTGTCTGTTGTGGGGAGGGGAAGGGAAAGGAGTTTGTAAGCCGCTCTGAAGACACCTTTGGGTAGTGAAGGGCGGGGTATAAATCCAATCTCTTCTTCTTCTTCTGTTACAAATTGAACTATACCAGCCTGGAATGTGCAGGAATATTGATGGTATTGGGCTTCTTGCATTGGTTCTAAACTCAGCAAGTGGTGTGTGTCTGAAACAGTTTCTTGTGTATACATATCCTATGGCTGTGGAAACAGATGGGAGACAAATACCTAAAATTCTCATTGGTTCTTAACAATTTGATGGTGGTGCTTATGAATTTAAAACAGTTACCTTGGCCAGCAAGGAAGCGAACATGAATCCAAATCACAACTCGGCCTGCATTCAGCATGCCCGTACTCCTTTCCATTTTTCTCATTCTGCTATAAGCATGTTTTGCTGCGCTTTACAGTTAGATGATTCTGTAGATATAGGGCTTTACTAAAGAGCTTAACTTAGTATCATGGCACTGAAGATGACAAGATAAGTATTCAGCTATCAACGATCTGCATAATGGTAATATTATGTAATAAATCCTTTTTTGTGGGCAAAATAGTTAATATAAATTTGCAAAAGTTTGAGTTTGATTAACTTTGCTAATATAACGTAAAATGTTTTCTCTTTTTTAGTAATTGGGTTTCAAAATTTTCAGGATTGACTTTAATTAACTGAATCATTTGGAAGCTGTTAAAGCCATGCAGTTAATCAGTATGATCATAGTAATTCTGGTTTCAAAATGAATTTGTTTTCCTTTCCTTTTCTCTTTGTTTGGAGTAGCACCTCCGCATACAGCCTGAAGTGGGGCAGGCCAGAAATAGGATTACAACCAAGAAATGCTTTTTTGTTATTGTGGACTATATTTGCACCAACTAGCAACTACATTTCAGTGCTTGCCAGTAAAAAAGAAAAGAAAAGAGGAAGTATTTGTTAACTGCTTCTCCCAAAATGTCCTTGAAGTGGTATACAACATGGCATAAATATTAACATTCGAATAGTTTAAAACAATAAACAAATCTAATGAAAGGTAAAAATAACCGTTAAATTCAATGCATTAATATATTGATTCTCTCAGTAGATGATAACTCATTCTACATTATGATGCAAATTTGTAGTAATTCAGTAGCCTTACAGATTCTTTTAATGGAAGAGTGAGTGAGAAAATCTATGTTAGTTTTTAGTTGTCTCAAAAATATATTCCTTTCTTTACTATCTGTAAAGAAAATAAAATATGCTTAAAACTACAAATGAGTTGTCCTTATGAAGAAGATGACGTTTGGAGTCTGAAATTCTTTCATGATCCTCTTTGGTATGCATTTAAATGTAGTCCATAAACTAGTTTGGTTGGTACATTCCAGAGGTATAAAGAGCCTCCAGTTATTAGATTCATCTTGGTAGCTAGGTAACTTTACAGTGAACTTGATGTAGAACTGCCAGAAGAGTAGTATAGTGACTTCTAGTTTCATTATGCAGAGACCTGAACCAACCAGATTTTGCATGTCTCCTCACAACCACTGTATAATTTATGAAGTTTCAACAAAGTTAAAAGCAAAAGACCACGCAACCAAACCACAAAGTTAGGAATTGTTGGCAGTCTGGTTGCGTAAGAAATAATGTCCCAAGCAGTTATGTATGATGAAGCAAAGCTTTCTTGTGGATGGGTGTATATATCTGCTATTTCAGAGTTCTGGCACAATGCCATCATAATGGTTTGACCAAACAGCATCCTGTCTCCCTTCACAGTGATTGGCCTCCCTTTATTTCCTTCTGCTTCATGTATGTTACTGAAGGCTTTCAGTGTGTTCATTTTCATCACTCTGTGACAATACTTGTTGGCGGGTTGCACACAAATCTTTGATTTGTAAGTTAGCCTTTCTGTATACTCTGTATCACAAGGCTTCATCAGGTCACGTATTATTTCCTGAAGAGTTACATTGAATATTAATAAGGTAGATTTTTTTTTTTACTGCTGCCAATGTGTCCTTATCATTTTGAGCTCTGGATTTTTTGTACACCGCAAAATCATCTCTGCTGCATGTATTTGGTACAGTTGTGATGTCATACTGTTTCCTAGCACCTGGTCTTAGGCTGAATGTTACATTCATTAGTCTGGCTAAATGTAAGGCAGCTTTGTTTTCTTGTTCAATGCGTGCTTTCATACACGCTAAATAATGCCATTAGTGGATTTTGTCATTTCACACTGAAAAATCCAGTTGCAAAGTGCATTGAAAGTGGATTGAAGGTGCACTATTTTTAGTGTGTGTGAAAGCACCCATCGTGTGTGACATCCTCCTGCTGGGTCGGGTTGCCATGAGTTTGCCTCTCAATCCAAAGCCCTTTCTCAGTGGGCTGACTGGGAAGCCTGTGATGGTGAAGCTGAAGTGGGCGATGGGCTACCTGGTCTCTGTCGATGGCTACATGCAGCTTGCAGATACAGAAGAATATATTGATGGTGCTTTATCTGGATACCTTGATGAAGTTCTGATAAGGTGTAATAATGTCCTTTGGAGAAGAAGGAAGAGGATGGTGAAGTGAGAGAATAAGCTATTTTTTTGGAGGGAAGCATCCATCATTAATTTTGTAAGTTGGTGAACAGTAATGAATGGAAAAGTGTTGTCTAGTGTTCTGTAGAAATTATTGCTATCTGCAGTATAGCATGCTAGCAAGCACATAGTGTTGTAGTTAACTGTTGTAAGCAGAACACCCATGGTCATAAGGTGTAACTTACATTTTTATGTGATGCATAGTGAAGTCAGCGGATACCCTCAGTCACTCCCACATATGCCTTCCAAAATAGTGGCAGATTTCAGAATTGCTTTGGTGATTAAGTGGGTTATCTGTCGACTTTTGGGTTACCAATACATTGGGTTAGTACTAAAGTAGAGAACATAAAATAGGCTGGAAGCCCCTGAAAATATCACACACATTAAGATTTTCTTTCTTTTTGGAGTATAGAATCTGTACACTTCTTTTTTTTCTTTTTTTTTTTGGTAAACAAATTTTTTATTTTCTCAGGAATACAACATATAAAACTTTTCATTCTATCAATTGTCTACCCCATTCCCAGTTCCTCCCCTCCCTCCAATGGCTTCCCACAATGCTTCCACCCCTGCTCCAAATTACTTCATATCATCAACAATATCAGTTTCTCATCATTACAATCTAAAGATAACATCGTTTGACTTAATATTGATCTAAACATATTAAGTTTTGTTTCACATCCCAGTTCTTTTCCAGATAAATTTTAAAATCATTCCATTCTCCAAAAAACTCATCGTCTTCTTTGTTATTCAGTTTTTTTGTAATCTTATCCATTTGTGCCATGAACAGAACTTTTTGTATCCATTCTTCAACCTCTGGTACCTTTTCTGTCTTCCAAAACTGAGCATAAATCATTCTCGCTGTCACTATCAGGTACCAGAGTAAAGTCTTTTTAGTCGTATTGACTTCTTCCATTTTAAGTCCCAAAAGCAGAATTTCCGGTGCTTTTTTAAAAGAACATTTCAATATTTTTTGCATTTCATTGTGGACTTTTGTCCAAAAGTCTACAGCTTTCTCACAAGTCCACCACATATGATAAAATGAGCCCTCATGCCTCTTACATTTCCAACATTTGTTTGACATATTTTGATTCATATTTGCAATTTTCTTAGGTGTCATGTACCACCTATACATCATCTTATAACAGTTTTCTTTAACATTAGTACATGTCGAGATCTTAATAGAGTTTTTCCACAAATATTCCCAAGTTTCCATATCCACTTCCTTATTCATATTAATAGCCCATTTTAACATTTGTTCTTTAACAGTTTCATCTTCAGTATACCATTTTAACAACACCTTATACATTTTAGAAATATTTTTTCCTCCTCCACTCTCCCAAACCTTTTCAATTTCATTTTTTTCCTCTCTAAAACCATAGTTTTTTTTGTCAGATCTAAAAAGATCATAAATCTGCATATATTTCAACCACTCATATTCATATTCAATTTCATTCTGCTTTTTCATTACCCACTCTGTTCCCTCTTTTTTAATTAAATCTCTATATGGCAACCAGTCTCTACCTCGCTGTCTTGAGTAAGATATCAACACTTCTACTGGTACAATCCACAATGGTCTTAAGTCACTCTGGTACTTCTTATATCTTGTCCATACCATATACAAAGCTTTTCTCACCAAGTGAAGTTTAAAAAAACTGTCCATTTTTATCTTGTCATACCATAAATATGCATGCCAGCCAAATCTACAATCATGCCCTTCCAACCCCAACAATCTGTCATTTTCAAGCTTCACCCATTGATCCATCCATGTTAGACAAACCGCTTCATAATATAGTCTAAGATTTGGCATTTGTAGACCTCCTCTTTCTTTGGCATCACAAAGTATTTTCATTTTGATCCTTGGTTTCTTGCCTGCCCAAACAAATTTTGACAACTCTTGTTGCCACTTGGCCAACAAATCCGTTTTATGCAGAATTGGTATTGTTTGGAACAGGAACATCAAACGTGGTAGGACATTCATTTTTATAACTGATATTCTTCCCATCAGTGATAAGTTCATTTTATCCCATTTCTTAAAATCTTGAGTCAGCTTAGTCCATAATTTCTCATAATTATTCTTATATAGGTCTATATTTTTTGCCGTTAATTCAATTCCAAGGTATTTTGTTTTTTTAACTACTTCACATTGTACCAGTTCTTGTAGTTCCACTTGTTTTTGTTTGATCATGTTTTTACATATAAGTTTTGTTTTATTCTTATTTACGTAAAAGCCGGCCAATTCTCCAAACTCCTTTATTTTTTGAAAAAGCAATGTCAATTTTTCTGTTGGGTTTTCCACCATAAACATTACATCGTCTGCAAATGCTCGATATTTGTATTGGTGTCCTTTATGTGTCAAGCCCTTTATTTCTTGATCGTACTGTATTTTTTGTAAAAGTATTTCCAATACCCAGATAAATAATAACGGTGATAACGGACAACCTTGCCTTGTTCCTTTCTGTACTTTGAAGTTATCTGTCAGTTCTTTATTCACATTTATTTTAGCTCTTTGTTCAGAATAGATAGCTTCAATACAATTTCTAAAATGTTGTCCCGCTTCAATCTTTTCCATCATCTGGTGCATAAAATTCCAATTAAGATTGTCAAAAGCTTTTTCTGCATCAACAAACAGAAAAGCTACTTCTTTTTCTGGGTGCTTTTCATAATATTCAATTGCGTCCATTACTATTCTTACATTGTCTCTAATCTGCCTTTTGGGTAAAAAGCCCGCTTGATCTTCAGAAATTACCGTTTGTAAATAGTTTTTCACCCTTTCTGCAATAATTTTTGCAAAGATTTTATAATCGTTGTTCAAAAGAGATATTGGCCTGTAGTTCTTTACATTTGTTGAATCTTGTCCTTCCTTTGGAATCAAAGAAATAATTGCTTCTTTCCATGAGTCCGGCACCTTTTTGTTTTCTCTTATTTCGTTGGTTAAAGCTTCCAGGACCGGGGAAATTTCTTCTTTCATCTTTTTGTAGAATTTCGCTGTAAATCCGTCCGGCCCAGGCGCCTTCCCCAACTTTGTCTCTTCTATTGCCTTCATCACTTCTTCTTTTTGAATTGGACCATTTAATAAATCTTTGTATTCCTTACTTATTTTTGGTAGTGGAATCTCCTTTAAATATGTTTTAATCTTCTCAAGATCAACTCTAGTTGTTTGGAATAGTTTAGCATAATACTTGAAGAAACATCTCTTTATTCCATTAGGATCAACGAACTCTTTTCCATCTTCTATTATTTTGGTTATCATTCTTCTCTCTCTTCTAGCCTTAAGTTGCCAAGCTAAGTATTTTCCCGGTTTGTTCGCCCCTTCAAAAGATTTCTGTTGTAACTTCTTTAAATTCCAATACATTTCCTGATTCCAAGTCTCATTCAGTTGTTCCTTCAGCAACTTTAATTCTTTAATAATTTGCTTTTTTCCAGGCTTCTTTTTTAATTCCTTTTCTTTCTGAGCAATTTTTTCTAACACTTCTGTTTGTTTTTGAAGTTTTTCCTTTTTTTGCTTCACGTTTTGCGAGATGAGAATTCCTCTCATCACCGCTTTATAAGCATCCCATACAATCTGTATCGGTGTTTCTTTATTTAAATTTTGTTGAAAGAATTGTTTCGTTTCTTCCTTTAACATCTCAATTACCGTTTTCTTATCCAACAAGTCTTCATTAATCCTCCACAGAAAGGGTTTTTTCCTTTCTGTGGAACTCCATACCACCGGATTGTGATCTGAATTACATCTTGGCAAAATTTCAGTCTTATGTGTTTTCATTGATAATTCTTCAGACATCCAAATCATATCAATTCTGGAAAAAGAGCAATGTCTATTGGAATAATGATTTGGATGTCTGAAGAATTATCAATGAAAACACATAAGACTGAAATTTTGCCAAGATGTAATTCAGATCACAATCCGGTGGTATGGAGTTCCACAGAAAGGAAAAAACCCTTTCTGTGGAGGATTAATGAAGATTTGTTGGATAAGAAAACGGTAATTGAGATGTTAAAGGAAGAAACGAAACAATTCTTTCAACAAAATTTAAATAAAGAAACACCGATACAGATTGTATGGGATGCTTATAAAGCGGTGATGAGAGGAATTCTCATCTCGCAAAACGTGAAGCAAAAAAAGGAAAAACTTCAAAAACAAACAGAAGTGTTAGAAAAAATTGCGCAGAAAGAAAAGGAATTAAAAAAGAAGCCTGGAAAAAAGCAAATTATCAAAGAATTAAAGTTGCTGAAGGAACAACTGAATGAGACTTGGAATCAGGAAATGTATTGGAATTTAAAGAAGTTACAACAGAAATCTTTTGAAGGGGCGAACAAACCGGGAAAATACTTAGCTTGGCAACTTAAGGCTAGAAGAGAGAGAAGAATGATAACCAAAATAATAGAAGATGGAAAAGAGTTCGTTGATCCTAATGGAATAAAGAGATGTTTCTACACTTCTTTTTTTTCTAATGTGTTTCCTATGTACACAATTTTAAGCTCTTGTAGTCAACTTCACGTCGCGCTTTTGGAGTTTGCGCCTCTCACCTATGTTGTCACAGGACACTTCGGGACATGCGTCAGTGTCAACACCCAAATCGGCATCGACGGCTGCGCTGTCCCCGATGCCGACTCACTCAGATGTCGACCGCCCGATGCTGAAACGCTTGGCCCAGACATCTCAGTCCGAAGCTCATACTCCCTCTAAAAAATGCAGGGAGGGCAAGGATGATCGGCCAGTCAAGCACAAAAAGCATAAGAAAACTCCCCCTATGCAAACTCTGCTGACCCCTCAGAGGGCCACGGAACCGAATCCTACGGGGACTGCTTCGCTTGACTCCTCGAGCTGAGAGCAGCAACAAGGTGTACCTTGGTCACCTTCGCTGCATGCTATCCAGCTCACTGACTCTGAGCACGATATGGACTTAATGCAGATCTCCCGGTATTCCAGTGTCAAAAGCCTACACTCCAACCATGGAGCTGACACTTTTGTTTGTCCTTCACCATTCCATC